TTTACTGGAATTGTTTCAAATTAGATATTTGAAGTTCATAATGGATACTACATCCTATGACAGAAAATTGTCTATGTAGGTCAAGGTCTTCGTATAGCCCCCATATGACGGTACCTCCCGATATTCGGTATTTTGATGATTTTAGCGTCATTATTCACCGGATTAGTTTCAAATTACGTATTTACAGTTCGTAATGGGAACTAGAGGCTGTGACAGAAAATTGTCTATGCAGATCCAGGTCTTCGTATAGCTCCGATATAACGGAACCACCCTATATACTCGCCCAATATAACGGCTATATTTGGTATTTTTAAGATTTTAACAGAATTTTTAAAGAATTTTATTTTTTGAAAATTTTCAAATTCGTTCCACATGGTGGAGTGTATTCAAAGTTCGGCCCCGGTCGAACTTACTGCTTTTTAACTTGTTTTTTTTTTTGAAATTGTAAATTTTTTTTTAATTTTTCTAGACCTCTGGTGGGATTTTAGTTAAAGACCAAAATCGGTAAAATTAAAATTAATTTCGGTAATTTGAAATAAATTTCAAAATTGTTCGGCAAATTAAGGATATCGAAAGTCTTGTCAAGTTTAACAAACTCATTTAATTCATAATTTTGCGTTTCAATTTTACCGATATTTGTCGTAACTCAAAATATGTGTTAGAGAATCCCACTTCTGTTTGATTAGTTCCTGGTACCCATAACTTCCAGAAAACATGCCTATCTTCCCCTTCCTCTGCTTTCAGTTTTTCCGCCCAATCATAAAATGTACATAGCCCCTTTTTTATTTTATTTATTTATTTTTTTTTTTTTGACTGGCCGATAAACCCACAAATTCCCCAAAACCCAGCCACTCATGATTTTGTGTTGTATCTCTTCTCGGTTTGTGCGATTTTTTTCCGCCTCGAACACCATTTTTTCTTCAGTTTTTTAAGTGTGCTTATTTTTTGTTGTTGTACTCATTTTCAAAATATTCCCACCAAAATTAGCATACAACATTTATTTTTGGTTTGAAACATTGTTTGGACCACAACACCGCACTGCACAACAAAACAACATCGATTGATTGGCATAGCCGATTTTTGTTCAGAGCCGAAAAACCAGGTTATTAAAAACTCATTAAATTGTCTGTAACTTTGCAAAAAAAAAAAAAAAAAAAAAAAAAAAAAAGGCATCAATGGAGTAAAGAGTACAAAAAAACAAGAAAAAAAAACAAAAATATGAATAAAAACATTTTAAAGGCCCCAATAGTGGGGTGGTATATTCGGTTTAGTCTTCTATGAATGAAAGACTTCAATGGCCTTATATTAAATACCTCATTTGTTGTCTATAGAAAGATGACCAGTGGATCCTCTAATACAGAGGTGTGCCAAGAGGTCTCTCATAAATTGACAAGACATTGTAAAAAGCTTCGATAAGAGGGGTGGTATATTCAGCTTGGTGATCAATGAATAGAAGTCTTCAATATTCTTCTTTTATGTGACCTTAGGTGACCTCATAAATGGAGGATAAATTTAAAAAGCCCCAATTCGAGGTGTGGTATATTCAGTTTGATCTTTGATAAATGGAAGTCCTCAATGATCTTCTATTAAAGATCTCATCTATAGAAGGAAGATCGATAGTGCCACTAATCCACAGGTGCGCAATGAGGTCTCTCATAAATTGAAAAGGCAGTATAAAAAGCCACGATAAGGGGGTGGTATACTCCGCTTGGTTATCGATAATTGGAAGTCCTCAATGATCTTCTATTAAAAACCTCATTTCTCAATTATAGAATGAAGACTGATGGAGACTCTAATACAGGGGTGGGCAATGAGGTCTGCAATAAATTGACGAGACATTTGAAGAGCCCCGATTAATGATTTTTTATTCATCGATAAATGGAAGCCTACAATGGTATTCTATTAAGGACCTCATTCGTCTTCTATAGACGGAAGATCAATGGAACCTCAGAGGTGTGCAATCATAAATTCACAAGTCATTTTAAAGGCCCCCTTTAATACCAATAAAGCCTCAGGAGGCCTCGTTTTGGCCTTATATAAATGGAAGCCTTCAACGGCTTTCTATTCTTCATCTATAGACTGAAGATCAAGAGAGCCTCTAATACAGAAGGGTACAATCAGGTCTCTCATAGATTTTCGAGACTTGAGGGGGTATTTTACAGGCAAAAGCTCTCTTAATGTTCTATCTACAGAATACCTAATCTGCGATCTATCACATTATCTGACTTTTATGTTCAAAAGACCTCCTCACTTATAGACTGAAAATCAATAGAGCCTCTAATACAGAAGGATACAATCAGGTCTCTCATAAATTGTGGAGACTTGAGGGGGTATTTTACAGACAAAAGCTCTCTTAACGTTCTACCCACAGAATACATAATAAGCTATCTATCTGTAGAACACATTATCTGACTTTTATTGTTAAAAAAAAAAAACCTCCTCATATTTCGTCTTCTGTTGGAGTCAGAGCAGTGGTCCTTTTGATAGCTAGGATGGCAGTTAGGTGCCCTAATATTCGACATTTCTCTGCATATATTTTACATTTTCCACAAATTATTTCCCAACCCTCATACTCACACTCATAATATCTATGTTGGGTACAATAACTTATCGGCATTTGCATTTAACACCTGCATTAGCAAAACCCAAAGAAAATGAAACAAAAAAACACAGAAACAATAACAAAACAAAATAGCTAAGAAATTCTTTCAAACATGTACTTTTGCCGTATACAGATGTTAGCAATGAAAACAGAGGCAATCGAATGGGGGACCAGTGGCGTAGCCATGATGGAAATGGATTATCACAGACTAATAGAGCATAACATTTCTGAAACAAAAAACAGAAACAGAGGATTGTCAGAAATGAAAATCAATTTTCGAATCACCTAAAAATCGATTTTCAAAAGAGATTGGGGTCCAGTGGCGTAGGGCTGATGGAAAGCCGCAGGAACTATTACAGACAAATAGAGCCTAAAATTTCTGAAAAAAAAATAAAAAAAATAAGTTAAGACTGTAAATAGTAGTTTACAAATCGATTTTCGAATCACCTAATATGGGATTTCAAAAGAAAATGCTTGTCAGAGGTCTTCTTTTACATGGAAGAAAATCTGGAGAACCATCTTCTCCTAAAAAACCTACTTAAGATCTTCTTTTTTGTTGAGTACGCCTCCTGGAGGCCTTTTTGGCGGAGAAGTTTTTTTTTTTTTTTTTTTTTTTTTGAAGACCCCCTTTACTCAGATGGCCCTATGAAGGGAATACTCTTTGAAGGTTTTCTTCTTTTTTAATAAAAGCACCTTCTGGAGATCTTCTTTCCATTGTAGACCTGTGAAATATGCTCCTGTTGAAAATTCTCTCTCCATAGAAAACTGTGAGAGACTTCTCTTCATAGAAGAACCTTAGGTTTTTTTCTAGTGAAAAAAGATCTTCTGGAGATCTCCATGTGAAAAGTGCTCCCCATAGATGACCTTCATAGTATACCTGGCAAAGATCTCCTCTCCTTTTATAAACTGTTGAGAGTATTCTCTTCTTAGAAGACCTGAAGGCCTTCTTGGCGAAGAAGATCTTTTGCAGGACCTCTTTACCGAGATGTCATTCTTTAGGGAATATCTTGACCGAAAATACCCTATGGAGGTCTTTTTTCCATAGAAGATCTGTGGAATTTCCTTCATTAATACAACAACTGCACGATGTCTTGTATCTACAAAAGACCTGCCAAAGTTCTTCTCGTCCTAGAAGACCTAGATACGTTCTACCGATAATACCCTTAGGAGGTCTCTTTTCCATAGAAGATCTGTGGGATTTTCTCCATCAATAGACCATCCGTTGAAGGTCTTGTATCTAAAGAAGATATTTTATAATTTCCTCTCCATAGAGGACCTTCATTATAGACCTGTCAAAGTACTTCTCTCCTTGGAGGACCTGGATGCCTTCTTGACGAAGAAGATATTTTGGAGGCCCGCTTTAACGTGATGACTTACTGAGTGGGTCTATATTGAGGATAAACTTTGGTGATCTTCTTTTAATAGAAAATTTGCGGAAGATGATCCAACAATAGACCACCTGCAAGAGCTGGACTCTTAAAAAATCTATCAAAGGTCTTATCTTTATAGAAAACCTAGGGAACTCCTTTTGAAGTTCTTCTATTCAAAACTAGATTTTTTAGAATATCTACTGAAGGTCATCTATCTTCAAGAGACCTGTAGAAGCTATCACATTCATTGAAGGTGGGTTGATATTAGTTTCTTTATAGAAGATCAGTTAAAGGCCTTCTCTTCATAGAAGGCCAGGATCCAGCACCATCTATCTGTAGGATTCTGTTAATTTTTAATTTAATTTTTTTTTTTTTGAAAATATTCATGGGCCTCCAGAGATTCCATTTTTGATAGAAAAAAATTGTGGACCCAACTTATGGCTCTTCCGAGGCCCATAATATTAAAAAAAAGACATTAATCATCCGAAAACTTTAATTTTTAATCGAAAATTCATTGACCCTTAGAAAAAATCTCCTACGCCTCTGTTCGAAATATTAGCATCATTTATAAGTAATACACCATAATTAGAGGTAAAAACAACAACAACAACAATAACCTCCCAGTCAGAGTGAGAGACAGACAGACCGGCTGACTAACTATCAAAGAAATAAATAGCTATCAATTGAGCTGGAGGAGGTTGGTTAAATATTTGCGTTTTAGGTGCTATTTTGTTGTAGTTGTTGTTGCAAATAAATGTTGCCGGGTATTTGTTCAAAATGTCATGTTGTATTACAAAATAATTACCTGGCAGCAATTGAATGTTGTTGTTGTTGTTGCAGTTGTTGTATTCTGCATGTCTATGTCAATCAATAAATTGCCAAGTTAATTGCAACATAATTATTATGTAAATTGTTTGGCAAATAAACAGAATACATAAATATACACATACACATGTACACATACACATACATACACACATATACATGTCAATATTTTACTCAAAATAATATTCGAAACAACATTTCAATACTCATTTTCCTCTTCTTTTTGGGGATTTTCCTTTCCTCTTATCTTTACAGATAACACCCAGCGCAGCCACAGAACAAACGAAAATTCCCCACCATCAAAAAGCCAACACTCCTCCAAACCTGGAAAAACGCTCCACATATGCTGCTGCCACCGTTGAAGTTCACAGCGAACTTTCCGTCTACAGGTTTTAAGAATGCGCCTATTTAAAACGCGCAAATCCATCGATACTTTCAGTTCTGCCACAGCATCCCAGCACAGTGCGTCAGCCAGAGGAGGAGGAGCCAACGAAACGTATACCCAACACAATTCTTCACCCATAGCATCATGCGCCTCGAAGTTAACAAAATCGATCAGTGGCTCTTCATCGATATCCTCCTCGTTGCCCGATTTGCACGATAATTCGCCCGTAATGATTCTAAGCTGCACCAATTTGAATACAAGTGGCCTGGCGCCCAACACGAACAGCAGTGGTGCCAATTCCCACAATGCCAATAACATTAACATAAATGCCCACAACACCGCCCCCTCGTCGACGGCGAGCACAGCTCCGCCCACACCAAAATCAAATGAATCATTTCAAAACATCTCCCCCCAACAGTGTTCCACACCTGGCCTATCCTATCAACATTTGCAGAGTGGCCGTCAAACACCCTCCGCCCTCTCGGTGGCATCACTGAATGATGCCGTACTCCAGCGTCCCGCCAGTGTCCATTTGTTTGGTCACAAAGCCAATTCTTTGTTTTTGAATTATGGCGGCAGCAGTTCGAACATAGATCATGGACAGAGTCATCATTCGCCGGGAGGTGGTGGTGGCGGAGGAGGGCAATATCAAAAATATAGCTCTTCCCACAGTTCCAGAGGCGTTTTGGGCCAATTGCAAAAGAATTCCTCGTCGAGCAGCAGTTGCATCTATGAAAAATCGAATGGCCATGGAAGACAGAATGGCGGAAGCTTGAATACATCCATGACCCCAAATGGTTTGGGTAACAAGGAATCGGGCTCGTTTATGGGATCGAATGGTGAGTAAAGTTTTGAATTTTGGGGAAAACAGGGGAAATACTTTCCACAAATCTTCTACAGACAGGAGAAGTTCTAGAGTTCCTCTATGGATAGACACCCTGCTACAGGTCTTCTTTGGCCAGAAGAGCTTCTACAGGTCTTCTATGAACAGAAGACCTTCCACAGGTCGTCTATGGCCAGAAGACCTTCTACAGGTCGTCAATGGCCAGAAGACCATCGTAGGTCTTCTATCCATATCCAGTTCTTTAATGGCCAGCAGACCTTCTACAGGTTTTCTGTGGACAGTAGACCTTCGACAGCTCTTCTATGGATAGAAGACCTTCGACAGCTCTTCTATGGATAGAAGACCTTCGACAGCTCTTCTATGGATAGAAGACCTTCGACAGCTCTTCTATGGATAGAAGACCTTCGGCAGCTCTTCTATGGATAGAAGACCTTCGACAGCTCTTCTATGGATAGAAGACCTTCGACAGCTCTTCTATGGATAGAAGACCTTCGACAGCTCTTCTATGGATAGAAGACCTTCGACAGCTCTTCTATGGATAGAAGACCTTCGACAGCTCTTCTATGGATAGAAGACCTTCGACAGCTCTTCTATGGATAGAAGACCTTCGACAGCTCTTCTATGGATTGAAGACCTTCTACACGTCTTCTATGAATAGAAGACCTTCGACGGGTCTTCTGTGGATAGAAGACCTTCGACGGGTCTTCTGTGGATAGAAGGCCTTCTACAGGGCTTCTATGGATAGATGGCCTTTTACAGGTCTTCTATGGCCAGTAGACCTCCTACAGGTCTTCTATGGATAGAAGGCCTTCTACAGGTCTTCTATGACCAGAAGACCTTCTACAGGTCTTCTAAGGATGGATCTTTCAATGATTTTTTCAAGTCTCTGACAAGGCGTGGATTTTTTAAAAAAAAAATTGTCAGACTCTCTCTCTCTCTCTCTCTCTCTTTCAATGCAAAAGCTTGGATTTTTTAAGTCTCTCTTCCAATAACAAGGCCTGGATTTTTTAAGAATTTTTTAATTCTCTCTCTCCTTCAATGACAAGGCGTGGATTTTTTAAAGAATTTTTCAAGTCTCCCTCTCTCCCCTACAATGACTAGGCGTGGATTTTTTAAAGAATTGTTCAAGTCTCTCTCTCTTTCTTTTAACGACAAGGCGTGGATTTTTTAAAGAAATTTTCAAATCTCTCTTTCTCTTTCAACGACAAGGCTTGGATGTTTTAAAGAAATTTTCAAATCTCTCTTTCTCTTTCAACGACAAGGCTTGGATGTTTTAAAGAATTTTTCAAGTCTCTCTCTTTCAACGACAAGGTGTGGATTTTTAAAGAATTTTTTCAAGTGTCTCTCTTTCAACGACAAGCCGTGGATTTTTTTAAGATTTTTTTCTCAGGTATCTCTTTCAAAGACAGGGCGTGGATTTTTTAAAGATTTTTTCAACGCTCTCTTCCAACGACAAGGCGTTGATTTTTTAAAGAATTTTCAAGTCTCTCTTTCATGACAAGGCCTGAATTTTTTTCAAGAATGTTTTAAGACTCTCTTTCAATGTCAAGCCGTTGATTTTTTAAAGAATTTTTCAAGTCTCTCTCTTTTATGACAAGGACTGAATTTTTTTCAAGAATATTTTAAGACTCTCTTTCAATGTCAAGGTGTGGATTTTTTAAAGATATTTTCAACTCTCTCTCTCTCTCTCAAGGCGTGGATTTTTTAAAGAGTTTTTCAACTCTCTCTTTCAATGACAAGATGTGGATTTTTTAAAGATTTTTTCAAGTCTCTCCCTTTCAATGCCAAGGCCTGGGTTTTTTCAAGAATTTTTCTCTCTCTCTCTCTCTCTTCCATTTTTTTATTTTTTCTCCCTTTTCTGCTTCACTGTATGTGGCAGATCGTCTTTGCAACATTGTATTGCCAACTTTGCATAATTTCCTGTCCCGTAGGTTCCCAAAAGAAAAACCGAATCCTATACCTGATTTGACCATAAAAGCCATTAAAACAGGCAGCCCATCATCAAATACCAAAGATGTTCACTTTGTTGTCGTTGTTGTTGTTTTTTCTTAAATATCCATCCACATCCTCATCTTCGCCGGCATGTGGACATGTTTGACAGACAGTTCCCGGCCTGATTGACTGCGGTAGAAGTTAAACGCCAAAGTTATTTTGATGTACAATAAAATGCAATAAAAATTAAAATATTTTTTTCATTTTATTTTATTAAAAAAAAATGGTGTGTTGCCATTAACAATTATATTTCATCTAATACGAAACGCCGCAAACCGGAACAATTGTTGAGCTGCCAACAGCAGCTGGGGGATGGGGTATCTCTGCCAGCGGCCTTTGATTGAAAGCCACTTTGCCACACAACATGGTTTTGAGCTCTGGAGCAGAGGTATTGCCGGCTAATGACATTTTCCAATAAATAACAAATTGTTGGTTCGCCATTGGCCATCAGAGGCTTTAAGTGATATTCACTGAGCTGCGGATTATCCAAGGAATTTCGATAATTAACAAATATCGTTTGCTGGGCAAAGGAGTTTTCTAAAATTATATTTTCATGGCCAACCAAATGGCTTTGCCATAGCAAAGAGGAATTTAGTTGGATAACCAGGGAATTGCTGGAGGCAGAAGAGGGGATTTCGAGGAGATAGTGGTAGGTTTCTTGAGATCTTAGACAGAAATGCGATGAAAAGACCAGGATATACACCGAGGGGGGTAGAGAGTGTTTGAGATTTTTTAATTGAGTTTTGATGTGCAGATTGTTGGCCAGCCCTGGATTTGTAAGTAATTTCTGTAGACCAAAAGCCAGCTTATATTGCATATTTGGGTTCAGGGAACCTTGACTCCTTAGCTTTTTGTAAAACTCAATAAACAGTAAGGCTTTCAAATAATTTACTTCCCCGGCACTCAAATCCAAACGTTTCAATATTTTTAAGGGTAAAATTAAACCCATAACTTTGGAAATTGAAAACTTGGCGATTCTTTGTACAATTTCCATGGGAAGGACACTTAAAGTTACATCCAGCTTCCTGAGTTCTTCATAGTCCTTCTTCATCATAATAACTTGGAAATTTTCACCACACCTCTCCATCACTGCCAACTCTAGGGGTTTTGAAAAATCCCCAACCCAAGATTGTTGCGCCACCACAATTTTCATTATTTCCAATAGCTGTGGCAATTGCAATTTTCGATACCATTCATGGTGGAACTGGTTCAATTTTTGCCACATCAAATTTTCCGCCAACGTTGCATTTTTTGAAAATTCCAAAATATGGCAAGCAATTTTATAGATTTCATTTACATCCGTTGCATTTCGTAAAATTAACTCGGCCTGGGTAAATTGCCTGCCATGCATTTTCAGTTGAAATAACTCCGATTGGTTGGCAGCAATTGCCAGGGGGGTAATATGCAACAAAACCACCAACAATATTGAAAACTGCTGCAACAACATTTTCAGTTTTTTTATTTTGAAATTCGTATTCTCACTCTCCGTATGGCTGTTTATTCAAAATTGAACTGATTTGATAATTGCCAATCCCGGCATCCCCAATTTAACTGCTGCATATGATAAGATTTCAATTTTTTTTTTTTGTTTTTCAAATTCTCATATCAATTTTCGTTGTCGTTTTTTTTTTTTGCTTATTTCCTTCATTTTCAGTTCAATTACCCGATTATAAATTGGTTACGGCAGTGCCAGTCGTGGTCTTGGATGATGAACAAAAATCTGCCGCAACGACGTCATCATCACCATCTTCACTGCCTCCAACAGCAGCCGCCGCAACCACAACAACAGCCAGCAATAATTCAATATTGGGTGGAGGTTCAAGCCTAAGCCAGACAGCAACATCAAGCGCCAGAAATGGTAAGTGAGGTGTTTGTTATCTCTTATCAATACTCTGTGAAACCACGCCCACCATTCCCCCCAAATCCCACGAAATTGCGCAGAAAATTAAAATATATACATTTTTAAACAAAATTCATGTCGGGATTTTTTAAATAAATTGTTTCGTTCTAAAAAAATATTTTGAACTGATCTTTTGACTGAACTTTAGAAAATTAATAAACATTTTTTAGGCCTCAAACAAAATTCATGTCTGGATTTTAGAAAATTTTAGAATTTATTTCAAAAGTTAAAAAAAATATATCGAACTAAAAAAATATTTTAAAGACTTGAAAGACCCATTTTAAAATAAAAGGTAATTTTTAAACAAATTCTCAGTTTTTAAGAAATTTGTTAAGGCTCTCTTATAGATAACTTTTTCCATGCCTCTCAAATAAGTCTCGCTCTCAAATATAGAGCGTGAAATTTGTAGAGCCTCCCTTCCAAGATAAAGCGAGAATTTAGTAAAATATTGTAGACTCTTTTTCAAAGACAAAGCGTAAATTTTGCAGTTTTTTAGATGAATTTTTAGAGTTTCTATGTTAAAGGTAAAATTTATTGAGAACAAAAATTAATTCTATTAACAAATAGCATCCTAGCAGTCATATATATAGAGATATTCCTTAGGGTCCCCTTTAACATTTTTTCAACCTCTTCTTTATACCCTCCACCATACGTGGTATGAATGGTATATCTAAGACGATTTTGCCCTGTCCGTCCGTCTGTCCGTTTGTTGTAATTGCGCCAGAATAAAAACGAATAAGAATAGAAAGCCAAGATTTTGCACAGATCAGTCTTTTATCTGCAGACAGGTCAAGTTCGAAGATGGACTATATCGGTCCACGATATCGTATAACCCCCATATAACGGTACCCACCGATATTCGGTGTTTTGATGATTGGTGCCAAATATCTTAATGAAATTGTCTGAAAATCCACAAAAGGAGTTCCTTCTGAGTATTTTACCCTCTGAAAGAATATTGTCTATATAGGTTCGTCATATAACGGTACCTCCCTATATTCGTTATTTTGATAATTTCAACTACATTTTTGAATAGAATTCGTAATGGGTACTACAGTCTGTGACAGCAAATTGTCTATGCAGGTCCAGGTCTTCGTATAGGCTCCATATATCAGTACCTCTATATTCGGTATTTTGACGTTTTTATGTACAATATTCACCGAAATTGTTTGAGATGTCGTATTTGAAGTTCCCAAGGTACAATATTCACCGAAATTGTTTGAAATTTCATATTTGAAGTTCCCAATAGGTACTACAGCCTGTGACAGAAAATTCCAGGCCCCCGTCTTCGTATAGATCCAAAAAAAAAAATACGGCAACTCCCTATATACGGTATTTTTAAAATTGTTATTTATTCTTTTGGAAATTTTAAAAATTCTGTCCAAATGGTGGAGGGTTTTCAAATGCTCATTTACGTAGTAAAAAAATTGCCTTTTTGTAAAATATTCTAGGGAAAGAAGACTTTCTATAGCTAAAATACCTTATAAAGGTCTACTTCTAAAAAATATTTTCTACAAGTCCGCCTTTGGAAAATTTATTTATGATTTGTTTCTTAGATCCATCACTCCTTTCTCAGAATAATACGTTAGCTTTAACATTTTATTGAGAACAAAAGTTAATTTGTTTTAAGCAGTTCAATATTTTTTCGTGGATTTGTTCCTTAGATCCATCACTCCATTCTCAGAATAATACGTTACATTAAAAATTTTATTGAGAACAAAAATTAATTTGTTTTAAGCAGTTCATTATTTTTTTGTGGAACATTTATTGAGATCAAAAATTGATTGATTTTAATTTTGCACTGTTGTTTGATTTTGCCATTCAATCCATCCTTTTTCACTAAGAATAATACCTTTCATTAATTTTGTTTTCTTTCAGACTCTATTTTCAAAAAAAAAAAAAACATAATGACCCTCTTGGCTATCATTATTTGTAAAAAAATTGATAAATATAATTGTGGCCACCATTGAGAAATTGTTGTAAAAATTTTATTTTACCTTTTATCATATTTAATACTGAATATTTAAAATTCCAAAGAATAAATTTGTTGAGATTTAACTTTTTATAGTCCAATTTCAAATTTAACTCCTTTCACAATTTCTAAATTCCACGAAATATTTAACTATCAGCTAGAAATTTTTATTAAAACCCGTGAAAATAACCATTAAAATTTAACCTAAATTCCAATATCCTTAATGCCCCAAAATTCCTCTACGCTTTTCTTTGCGTACGCACATCAAATAAATTAGATGATTTTAATGGCTCTATTTGTATTTTTTTTTTAGAAGAACATTAAATTTTGAACCCCTATTTGTTTATTATTTGTTTCTTTTTTTATTTTTGATTTCAAATCCATTGAATGAAAAGCTAAAAAAAGATCAAAATGGTCATTTCTTGCTTTGAGATTTATAAGAAATAGTTAAGCCATTAATGTTAGCCACAATAAATGAAATCATAAAATCACAGTTTTACAAATCATCTAAACAATTGCTCAGGCCTACACCTAATCTGGCCAATAAAAAAGAAGGCCAATATCATGTGTTGTCCATTAACTGTTTTAATGTTTATTAATATTAAACCATATTTGAAAGTTTAGATTTGATTGTCGATGGTAGCTTATAACTCACGTACCACCACAGCGGCATCAGCATGTGGTGATTTTTCGTGGTTTTCCACTCTTTTGTTGTTAGTTTTTTCTACAAATCTTTTTTGGTGGGTTTGTGTGTGTGACCATGTTGACCATAAAATATCTTTTGTGTGAGTTTTTTTTTCTCTTCTTAAAAGACAAATGGACAAAATACCATTTGTTGTCTACTTCAGTAGATAAAGTTCAGTTTTGGACTCCATCCAGCCATCTTATTTGGCCATAAACCCGTTCAGACATTTATGGCCGCTCAGTGATAATAGCCATGAAATCATAACATTCTCGTACATTTTTCTTTATCACATTACCAGGGCTTAAAAACTCTTTTGCATGCTTTCCAGTGACCACGACAACGATCATCATCACCACCATCGCCACCATCATCTCCGCCACCTACTTTTCCCATATAATCATTATGATGGTAATAATATTTGTTAATATATTGTTAATGTTATGTTAAATGCCATATGTGTCAAATAAAATTGCATGTGATTAGAGGCGTGTGCTTGTGTCAGTCTATATGGTGGTGGGGCGGTGTGGTTTTTGTGGTGAAAAGCCATAAAACGGAATCAGAAATTGTAGCGGAAATATTGAAATTGCTGTAAGCTTTGGCATATTGGCAAAATAAGAACAGTGCAATCGTTCGACTAAGCCATAGAGAGGAATGTGTGTCAGGAAATGACTGAAGTTTAACCAAGTTCGGTTATGTTTGAAAAGTAATAAGCTAGGAATCGTATCGTCATACAGAAAACAGATCCTAAATATTAAATACCTTTGGTAAAGCTTCTACAGATTGGACCATTTTTTCAAGTTGCTTTAGAGAATATATTTTCATAGATGTTCTACGCATAGAAAAAGTCTGATAAAAAGATCGGATATATATGGAACCCTTTAATACTAATAATTCAAAGTTTTGACATCCTACAAGTCTTCCAAAGGAAGAACTGTTTCAAGAATTTCAACAAGTCCTTCCTATAGGTTTCTGATACATAACTTAAATTTATTGAGAACAAAAATTACTTGAAGTTTCACACATTTTTTCGGATCCAGCTACTCGAATTTGAATTACAATTTTATTGAGAACAAAACATTAATTATTTTATAAGCATAGTTTAACCATTTTTAAATCCAATATTCCAATTTTAAATTAAAAACAAGCTAAATTGCCGAAAGATGTATACCCCCCGCCTTGAGTTATGATTATTTAAACTGTTGACCCTTTATGGGCCAGGTTTCGAAGCAGTTGGCCAATATTGACCAATTCGTAACCGACCTAAGACTGATATAAATATTACAACGTGCCAGATTTGGACTATATCAACTACTTCCTATACTTTGTATTGGAAAAATGTGGAAATATGCGTGAGGTATTGGAAATTGTGACCTTTTTTGGGTGAGGTACAGGAAGGGGTTGGTCGATACCAATCACCTTCACAACAGATTTTCCGTTAACAAAAATGTTTGGATATGTGTAATTTGAAGAGAGTTTAACGGTTACTTCGCGATTTATAAGCGTACTAGAAGGAGAACGACGATATATCCCAATAAAAATAATGGCATGGGTGAAAATTGAAGAGAACAGGATGCTTATTTCGGATTTTATGAGCGTTATGACACTTTGTGGGGGAGGTACCAGAAGAAATGGTCCGATCTCTATCATCTATTTAACAGATCTTGTGTTGATGGAAATATTGAGATGTAACAAGTCTGAATAGAATCGAATGTTAATTTTGCGTTTTATGAGCTTCATAGATATTCAAAAAGTTTACCCTTTTTGGGGAAGGTACTAGAAGGATTGGACTGATATTTTCCATCTTCACATCAGATCTTGTGTTAGTAGAAATAAAGGGATTTGTGAAATATGAAGAGAACCGGATGCATATTTCGGATTTTATAATCGTTTTGGTTATTCAAAACGTTGAACCTGTGTGAGGGAAGTACCAGAAGGAATGGTCTGATGTCTACCATCTTCATAGCAGATCTTGCGTTGACAGAAATATTGAGATGTACCAAGTCTGAATGGAAATATTGTCCCTTTGTGGGAGAGTGGACCGGTATAGCCAATCTCCGAACTCGATCTAAGTTTGAAAATAATATTACGATGTACCAAGTTTGGACCAAAGCGGATACTCCCTTCGAGAGTTATCGTGGCACCAGCCAGACAGACGTACGGACATCGACTCCAAATGTTCTGAAACGGATTTGTTCCAAACAGACCTAAGGTCTAAACCCGTTATTTCGATGAGGCAGCCATATGGCTGAGGGTATAATTAATTGTTTTTTCCATGGACCCAACCATTGGATTTTAAATTTTATT